ATTTCAACAGTTGAAATTAAAGTTGATTATAAAAGCTCAATGGTTGTAAAACATATTTAATTTTTGATTTCAGGTCTTGAATCAGTCATAGCTGGCATAACTTCCAGGCTGTCAGGCTGGGATGAATATATCTGCAACAGTGTGTGACATGGACGGAGTAAAATTACAAGTTCTCTCTATCTTGGGTGCAAATGTGCAACAACTATATTTTGCATTCCATAACAAAGAGATAGTGACCCTTTGATACGCCATATTTATTACATAAGGGATCTTGCAATGGGGTTAATGCATTTCACATTGAAATAACTTTGTTTTGCAGAAGAGAGCCATGAGAGCACTTTACAACCTAAGTTCGAAGGAGTCTTTTCAAGAAAGTTTTTTAGAAGTAAATATATTAACTATAGCGTTTTAGTAGTTTATGAAAATTTAATGTATGTTTTTTATTAATTTTTGTTTTTTGTTTTTGTTAATTTAATGTACACAAAAGCAACAATAGTTTTTTATTAAAAATAGTAATGTATATTCTGTAAATACTAGGAACAAGTACAAGCTAGTTATATCAGTTATTCCACTTCAAAGAATAAGTTTTCCTTCATGGGGCAATAGTATATGTTTTTACAAGTCATAAAATATGCAGTCTATCAAAAACTGAAAATTTTTAACTAAGCAAAGTTGTTCAAAAAAGGTTATTACAATAAAATATACGATTGATAAACCCCTGGGAATGGGGTGATTAATGTTTTTTCTAAATGTTTTAATATTTAATTGTAAAACATTATATTCTAAATAACATTTTGTTCAAATGACCTGCTTGGACTTCTTGCTTGTTTTCTACATAGGACAGAGGCTTTTCCCAAACGAGTAAAAACATTAATTACTTAATGAGTTTTGTAATCAAGTATTCTCTAATAAGTTTTGTAGTTTTGAATAAAATTTATTCTATTTACGTCGTAACTGCAAGCATATAATATAGAGACAAAATTTTAAGGTTAATATTAAATCAGGGAAATAAATAGACAACCAATTATTGTCAAAATGAAATTATTATTTGCTGGTTTTACTCTGCTCTTGTGTACATAAGCTTATTTATTATTTAACTTGTTTTTGATTCAAATATTGCTATTTTAGGTATTGTAGACATGCTAGGGTTTTTAATTGTGCATGATATTATCAATACATTCATAATTGTAAATCATCTATATTATTTTGTCCTTTTTTACATAGGTAATTGAAATATTGTAATCAGTATTGATTTTTATTTTCTTGTTTTAACTCATCTAATGACTTAATAGACAGAAATAATTTTGGTAAAGAAATTTTGTCTCCTCCCTTCAGTAGTGTTCTAGTATTATGCAAGTTTGAGAAATGTTATTCTGTACCTTAGAATCACCTGCTATTAGGCGGCCAGTATACATATACTAGGCGATGTCGGATGCATGGCTGTTACATTCCGTCTGGACTGTAATACTAAGCCCGCAAGACCCAACATTGTAGGCTTAGTATAACAATCTTTTTTAACACCCTTTGGGTCCAGACTAATAAAATGATAAATATTGTTGCCATTATATACATATTATATTATATTTTTCAGAGTAATCAAATTCGTAACTTAAGCTTAAATACATAAATAATGATATAATGTTATTGCAATTTTTTAAAATATCAGTAAATAAAGCTTCTTCTTTTATTTGCAACTATCCCAAATTGAATGCGATTTATGGGCAACAACGTTTTTGCCTACCGATCGACTAACATGTTTCAAATATAAGCAAGCTCTAACTAATTTTTAATATCTTTATCTTACGAGTAAACTGAAAAATTATTAAATATAGATAGTTAAAAATGCAAACTGTTAATCAAAATAATAACACACACTCACTCCTTTCACACACACACACTCACACTTATATACTACACACTGGCATCTACGTATTAATTTTACACTTACTTCTAAACTTTTAATATTGGTTTATGATTAACAAATCTCCAATATTAAATGAACATTTTGCATATTATATTTTATTGTTTTAAGAAAATGAAATTTTAACTGAGTCACTACTCGCTAAGTTTCAATTATTTCTATGTGAAATATAGTATAAGTTCTTGTAAATGTTTACTATAACATTCGGATATTAATATAAGTGTGTGAAACATTTATAGAATATCTCTCCTGCCTTACTCTTGTACCATACAACTAAACATTTAGCTATAATAGTATTGAGCCATTTGTCGGATTAGAACATAGCACATAGCTAATTATTTTACTTCTTCCCACTTTTATTAATTTCTTGATTGTGGTAAAATTGTTTTTATGTTTTTGTTTTTCTATTTGATATGTATTTAATGGGGAGGGCTTAGCAGCTGTAACACAGGTCTGTGACCTAGCACGGTTGCTAAAGATACCTTAATATACTATTGAGTTAGATTTACGTCTTATCAATATAATTTTGTAAGTATATGTTTTTATGTAGAGTATATTTGGATTCAATAAATAAATAAAATATATATTCAATAAATAATAAATAGGGAAAAATTTCGGTCGGCAGACCACCCCACATGTCGGTCACCTCGTGAGCCTTTCACTAGGTTCTCGTCATATGGAATGGTAATGACGACCAAAAATATCCTTGACTGTGCCCGGTCCATCAGCACAATATCAGGTTTATTCGCAAGAATAGTCCTGTCTATGATGATGGCCCGATCCCAGTAGAGCCTGGCGCGGTCATTTTCGAGCACGGCTTCCGGCAAGTACTTATAATAAGGCAGTTTCCGATCCACGAGACCGTATTTCAGAGCGAGCTCCTGGTGTAGAATTCTAGCTACTAGGCTGTGTCTATGTAAGTACTTTGACATTCCTAAGTGACTCACCGGGACGGCGGCAAGCTTATTATTACTCTTACGAATGTTTGCGTGTGCAGTAAAATCACTTACAATGCATTACTGCGCATTTTGAATTTAAGAGATAAAAAGGATACAAAGTTTGAGATTTTTTTTAAATTGATTTGTCTTTAACGGCCTATATTAGTTATCTTGTACCTTCTCTGCAAATTTGACCGGTTATCACAAAATAACCCTGTATAATTTCCAAGGAAGCACAGATTATTGGAATAAGCCTAAACTATGGTAAGCTTTGTAAAATTTTGAGAGAAAGGTGGTACATGCTTTCATATTTCTTTCTCATATATATAATTAGTAGAACATGTGGAAGAAAAATTTCTTGTCACTTAAAACACATTATGAAGATGGCAGTGACAAACTAAATTATTTGATAAACAGTTTTCTACATTTCTTTAAGTTATGTATTTTAAGTGAATAAATAATTAGAAATTTGTATTGTATTTTATTATGTTCTTTTTCTTTTATATCGAGCTCTGGGACAGGTAACCTAAAAAAAATACCCCAAAAAAAAAGGACTAAATTTTTCCGCCTCACGAGAGAATTGCAGATAATCTGATTAATTATAAAGATGGAATTTGTGGAGATATATACCACATTTAATAGTTTCACTCAATAGTGCCTCTCAATGGATAGATCATAAGATGAACATGGACAAAACAAATATCATGTTTAATGTCCGTGTCACACCTATGTCGGTAGTTGTTGGGAGCACTAAGCTGGAAGTTTTTGACGAGTACATTTACCTGGGACAAATAGTCTGACTAGGTAAGTCCAACTTCGACCGAGAGGTCAATCGACGGATTCAACTCGGCTGGGCAGCGTTCGGGAAATTACGACGCATCTTCTCGTCAGGTATACCTACCTCAAAACCTGAAAACAAAGTTGTACCACCAGTGCGTGTTGCCAGTGATGACCTACGGAACCGAGACGTGGTCTTTCACTGCTGGCCGTATGAGGACGCTCAAAGTCGCTCAGCGAGCTATGGAGAGGGCTATGTTCGGAGTTTCTCTTCGTGATAGACACAGAAATGAAGATATCCGCAGTAAAACCAGAATGACCGACATAGCCCAACGGATTAGTAAGCTGAAGTGGCAATAGGCCGGCCATATAGCTCGAAGAACCGAAAACCGTTGGGGAAAAAAGGTTCTCGAGTGGCAGACTCGTACCGGTAGGCGAAGTGTAGGACAACCCCTCACTAGATAGTCACGATCTGGTAAGACATGCACGTAGTCGATGGATGCAGGTGGCTCAGGACCGTGCTTTGTAGCATACCTTGGGGGGAGGCCTATGTTCGGCAGTGGACTTGTGAACGTACAACCGTTCACAAGGTTGGTTCACAATGATGATGATGATGATACCACATTTATATTTTGTATTAAGTTATCATTCGTCTCCGCTAGGGTTGATAATGTTTTGTGATGTTTACCAACTAAATTGGATAACAGAAAAACACGATTTAAAACAAATCGCGAAATATAAAAAAACAACAGTGCGAACGCTAACGTTGACAAATCTATAGATAAACAAGTAAAATGTCTATGTTGTAATCAATGCGAACACAGCTAAAAACAAATCTTGATATCTGTTGAAAATTTTACACAGTTTTTGTGAGTGCGAACGCTACCATCAACAAAACATGTTGTGTGATTTATTTTATGCGATTTGTTTCAAAACATTACATGTTGGATGTTTCTCAGTGCAAACGTACTGTAATAATTCACACTCGCGGACACTTAATTCACAAAACCTCATCACTTTTACGAATCAAAATTCACTTTAAACCATTATAAATGCGACAAAACAGGAGCGACAATCTCAAATCGTCTACGACCAAGTTCCCGCCAAAACTCCTATCAATATTTGATAATAATAAATATCAAAGAGTATATAATCACTACATACTTCGTCAAATAAAGTTACGTTTAATTATTTTAATACATAATAAATATCTTATATAGAAATCTGTGGTAGAAATAGAAATCAATTGTGTTTGAACAGTGCAAGTTGGCTAATATTATCAGTGTAAAAAATAACAATTCAACAGATTGACTATCTTATCGTACACAAAAACAATTGCTTATTTTCTTTTGTCCGTTTGTTCAATGCTTGCTAGGGTTATTAATTCGCTGCCGTTGAGGCTGTCGCAAGGAATAACGAAACTTTATTTTCGAGGTAAGATTACTTCATAGGCAAATATAAATTCGTAGCATTGAATATACTACTTCATATCATCCCGCTGGTGTCTTAAAGAGGCGATAAAAAAAAGAAACCGGAGAAGGGCAGCAGCATCTTCCTGATTCAGGATTATTAAAAACTGAATTAACCTCACTTGTAATGAAAATCTCAAAGTAATGAAAAATCGGCGCTTACCAACCTGCCTGAAATCATGGCAACTGTGACAATTATCTACCCTATCTATAGCAGTAGACTTCAGCAGTGATTATTATGACAATAAAAATAATTGTTATTTGATTTTTTTCTTTTACAGCTTTAACTTGGAAGCAACAAGGATTTCATAGTATTCAGGAGCATCTCGAGTATAATAAAATGGATGTCAAAATTTTACCTGCTTTGCAAGACAATTACATGTACTTAATTGTAGACAAGGCTACAAAAGAAGCTGCTATAGTTGATCCTGTAGAGCCTAATACTGTGCTGAAAGCTGTGCAAGAACATGGTGTTAAGCTTACAACAGTTCTGACTACACATCACCACTGGTAATCAATACAGTTGATAATTTTATTTTACTTATTTTAAATATTCTAGATGTATAATACATAAGTACTGGTTTACTTTTTTATTTTAAATTTTTCTGCTTAATACATTATTTTAATATATAACACAATACATTCTTGTTACAATTTAACATTAAATTAAAATCCATGTTCAAAAACTACAAATTTGATTATACTTATTATAGTATTATAAACAATACATAGTATCATAAAACATAATATGTAATGTATTATAATTATTTTATATTTTGGATAAAATATTTTTGTTTTTTAGTGTACCTACCTATCTATATTGTAAATTTCAGGGACCACGCTGGAGGCAATGAGAATCTAGTTAAAATGCAACCAGGTTTGCAGGTATATGGTGGTGATGATCGTATAGGAGCGCTAACTATTAAAGTTCAGCACAATACTAAATTTAATATTGGTCGCCTTAATGTGCAATGTTTGTTTACCCCATGCCATACTTCTGGACACATCTGCTATTTTGTCACAGCTCCTGAAGAAGGCGAAGATTCTGCTGTGTTTACTGGTGAGTAAGATCTTCATTAACTATTATTAGTATTATACTATAATTTTTTTTATTAATATAGTAGGCGCTCGACAATCCGGTGCTCGCCAATCCGGTATGCTCAGTAGTCCGGCACTTTGAGACTCAGGTAGCCCGCTCTATAATCCGGCATTTTACACAGCTGAATGCCGGACTAATGTACAGTTGGGTTGAATTGTTCAAGTATTTTCTCTGTTCTCTTGCTCGGCAGTCCGGGCCTAACCTTAATAGTGAAGCCACTTGTTTATTTTGCTTTTTCTTGTTTCGCAGCGTAAACACGAAACATTAAGTTTAATTAAAAAGATGGAAATTTTGCCATGAAAAATCAATAGATGTCAGTATCTGCTGGGTAGAGGAAAATAACGCTATTAATAACATGTTACTGAATTTGAGAAAGCTAAGAGAAATGATAGTTAAAAAAATTACTATGGCAAGAAGCAAGCAAAAATTGGCAATTATTTGGTCAAAGCGTCATCTTCCTCTTCCGCAACTGAAAACGTCACAAATGATGAACATATGTATGTATGTATGTACAATATACATATTTTACACACGTATGTGTGTGTATGTTAAGTACGTAATTTTAATTTTATAATAAATTCACATAACAATATTAAAATAGTCTTTTACTGTGGATCTATTTTCCGATAATCTGGCATAAAGGGAAAAAATCTGGTGCCGGAATATCGAGCGCCTACTGTATTTCCAATAATTTCTAGTTCTAATAGAGATAATATTCAAATTTTCAATTATAAATCTCCAGAAATAAAAATTCCATCACAGTCTCATTGCAGACTCTTCTTCTTCTTTCTTTTGTGGCGGTTTGATAAAATTCGCCAATGACGTATTGAGTGGAAAATGAAAGCTTATGAGTTTGATTAAAATAAGAGTCTGTGATAATACAAGGATTCAGTTTTCCTTCGAGAATTTTGACAAATCTATTTGTTGAATTACCTAGAACAAATATTGACAAACACAGGTGTTAGACTCTTACCAGTATGTTAAAAGTGACAAGGATTTAAAGTTTCATATTATTAGTATTAATTAAATCACATAAAATATACACAAAAGGAGTACTGGTATATGTTAAAAGAGAATTAAAATCTATAGGTCGAGGAATATAAGGAGGAAGGTAATCATAAAGGGAGGAGGATAATTTGGGACAGTTGAAAAAAATATGGTTTGTGAAACCTTCATCTAAGCCACATTCACACAATGAGCTATCCCTTACTCTGATTTTTGCCAGATGTGCATGTGTATAAGCGTGTCCAATTCTTAATCTACAAATGATTGAAGTTGCATGTTTATTTGCTTTGTTAAATTTAAAGAACCAAGGCTTGGGAGGAATAACCTCTTGGATGCAGCATAGTGCTTACCTTTAACATTTTTGGAAACTTCCCATAATTTATTCCAATATTCATTCAGTTTCCTTTTAGCTAGCAAAATTAGGTCATGTGAGTAAATTAAATTTTGTAGAATGCCAATAGCAATTGCATTTTTAGTGAGTACATCAGCTGTTTCGTTACCATGGATACCACTGTGGCCTGGAATCCAGGCCACTGAAACATGGATTCCTTTAAGATGGCATCTGAATAGAGTATTTTTTATTTTAAGAATTAGTGGAAATTTATGTTTGTTATGGAATTGATTTGACAAAATAGCTAACAAACTACTTTTTGAATCTGTGAAAATAACTGTTTTATTAAGATTATGTGACTACATATAATAAAGCTTCACTGATTGCAGTTGATTCACCGGTAAAAGTGGAGGATAATGAGGGGCTTTTAAAGTTAAGAATGATATTGAACTTAGGAATCCAAACAGCAGCTCCAGTATAGTCTTCATCAGACTGTTTTGAAGCGTCTGTGTACATGACAAGCCAATCTTTAAAGGTGTTTTCTATAATTTCTTTTAATTTCAAATTTGCCATTGGAGAATCCTTTTCTATACCTAGATCTAGATGAATGTCGGGTTGGTAAACAATAGCCTCGTAAGGAACATCAAAGAGTGGATTTATTTTACATTGAAAGATTGGGTAAGGAAGCTGAAGAAAAATTACAAAACTTAAACAAGCAGGGAGAGTCCTTATGGGTACGGTATCGGTCAGATGAGATATACTCTGAAAGAAGATGCAATTTAGGAAATAGGGGATGATCTCAAAGCTGGCAGATCTTAAATAAGAATCTGTCTGAAAGGTATTGCCTTCTTAATCTTAAAGGAGGATCTACGCACTCAACCTGAAGAACATTTATTGGTGAGGATTTTATTGGCCCTGTAATAATACGAAGGCATTTCGATTGAATTTTATCCATTACTTTCAGGGATGATTTATTGCAAGGCTCCAACAGAAAACATCCATAATCAAGGTGGCTTCTTATTAAACCATTGTACAGTAATTTCTGAGAAAAAGGATGAGACCCCCACTAAACACCAGACAAAGACCGAAGAATATTTATGTTTTTTTTTTTGCATTTTTGTGTTATATATTCAATGTATGGACCGAAGGCCAATTTCGAATCAAGGATAACTCCCAAAAATTTAACATTGCCTCTAACTGGAATAGGTGGCTTATCATATACAACAGATATATCGGGAACTCGCCTTTGGCGGGAAAAGATCACCACACTACTCTTGGCCAAAGATAAAGAGAGGCCATGATTAGTTAACCATTCTTGTAAATAATCCATGGATGAGTTTAGACGGGAACATGCCACCGTGAAGTTGTTTAAGGAGATGTATAGAGCTAAATCGTCTGCATATTGAAGAACATCACAAAAAGAATTTACTGAAAGTTCTAAATCGTGAGTATATATAGAATAAAGGAGAGGACTAAGAACTGAGCCTTGTGGAAGTCCTTTCCATATAGTTTTTGGGGGGAAGCAGGAGATTTTTAACATTTATAGATATTGATCTAGAAGAGAGAAAGTTAGAGACATAATTGACTATCCTCACTGGAATGCTCAGATTTAGCATTTTCTGCCTGAGCACAGAAAGAAGTACATTATCATATGCAGAAGAAATATCCAAGAAAACTCCTATGAGGCATTCATGTTTTGAAAAAGCAATATGAACATCTGTGACCAAAGTACTAAGGCTATCCATGGTACTTAAACCTTTTCGGAAACCGAATTGGCTTTTTAGGTAAGAGATTATTCCTTTCCAAAAACCACTCCAAGCGATTTTTTATTAAATGTTCCAAGATTTTTGCCAAAGTACAAGAAAGGGCAATAGGTCGGTAACTGGAAGGGTCATTGCCAGACTTACCTGGTTTGAGAATGGGCAAAATAATTTGGGTTTTCCATTCAGCAGGAGGATCACCAGTAATATAAATAAAATTTAAAATGAATAGTAAGACAGTTTTAGTGTTCTCACTACTATTAATTATAAACGAATAAGGAATCCCATCAATACCTGCTGAGGAGTCTTTAAGGCCATTGAGTACACTAAACAATTCCTGAGAAGAAAAGGGGGAATCAAATTTGTCATTTGTTTTTAAAAAAGCAGAATTAAAAACTAGGCATTCATCATAAGATGGGACTGTTTGTGGTGCAAGTTTATTAGAGAATTCATCTATACACGGGGAAGGATCATTAGAAATTATATTTTCACTAGAAACTGCACAGCAATATTTTTTAACATTTCTCCAGACCAAAGATGGGGGAGTCCTAGGTGACAGTGACTCACAGAATTTAAACCAACCCGTTCGCTTTTTGTCTGACAGTAATTTTAAGGTTTCTGCAGCAATTTTTTTATAGGAGATATAATTCTCTGCAGTCATAGAATGGGAGTATATTAATTCAGCCTCTTTTCTTCTCCTACAAGCTGCTGAACAATCTTAGTCCCACCAAGGAGGGGAAGGATAATTATTTTTGAAAGGTTTTTTAATGGGATTGACTTATTAGCAGCAGAAATAATTGCAATTCTGAACTCTATATATACAGGAGCAATATTATCATTGTTAATTGGGGGGAAGAGTTGAAACCTCTTGTTCTAAAAATGAAGAATATAATTGCCAATTAGCTTCGGATAGATTATACTTTAGTCTTGGGCAAAATGTAATATTTATTCTAGGTGAAGTAGGAGGAGTGATGAATATAGGAAAATGGTCACTGCCATAGCTAGAAGGTAATATATATAATAATAAGATAATATATAGTAATATTTGCCACAAAAGAAGGGAAGCAATATCTGGGGAACAGAGAGTTAGGTCAATGGCACTTCTAACATTTTGTAATGGGGATACTCGACGGGTAGGAGACACGTCATTTAGAATACAGAGATTAAAATTAACAATAAGATCTAAAAATAAGGGAGCCAGTGAATCACACAGATGGGAGCCCCAAACATTATGATGCATATTAAAATCTCCCAAAATAACCATAGGAGGTGACAGAGAAAAAATAAGTGTTGCAAGTTCTGTTAAACCATTTACATCAGGATTAGGAATTAACAGAGAGAATAGAGACATCAAGGGCCTTAATAGCAACAGCATTTACAGCTGGACTATGAGAAGGGGAGGAATTTGTGAAAATGTAACTGTTCTTGAAATTAAAATAGAGGTGCCAGCACGACCATCACTCTTATCATCCCGGAGGCATGCGTAGCCTGAAACCCTAAAATGAGACTCAGGCCTAAGCCATGTCCCCTGGATGGCAAGAATGAAGGGATGAAGTTTATTAATGAGGTAAATGAGTTCATTTTTTTATTTCGAATGCTCCGACAATTCCATTGAAGAATTGGTGGGACTGCGAATGTTACGGGCTAAGGAGGAAAGCTGAGTAAGTATTTGGTGTAAGCTGAGAGGAAGGGTTCCGTGTCACTAAAACGGGAGATCATGTTAATTAGCGTTGATATCATAAGTTCGCAGAAATTATCATTACTAGAGGAATTGTTGTCATTCCCCAGTAGAGCACACCCATTAGGAAGGAAAGAATTAGGAATCTCAACAATTGCCTGATGGGCTGTCTCCGATATGAGGCTGT